AACAAAACAAGACTTTGAACAATTAAAAATATCCCCTAAGGGCCCCTCAAGAGCTTTAACTGACCTTCTGGGTCAGAAGATGCCCTGTGCAAAGTACATGTTTGGCCCTACTTGAAGAAACTCTCTCTCCTGAGGGCAGCACGCAAAGTGCTTAATTCTAAGTATACGCTTGAATTTCATTGAAATCAGCACAATGCACAGTGAAGAGAGCTACAAATGCCACAAATGCAGAAAAAGGCCGCATTGTGGCTTTCATCGTTTGGTAATGAATGACATGCTGAGCTCTGTCCAGACCTTGTTGATGCTGAGAGCCTGCTGACCTTTGCCATCCCTCCTCGATTTGGGTGCCCTCCTCTGAGTGCCAAGGTCATTGCTGTTATTATGGGCACTGCAATTCCTGGGGATTCTCCTAGTCCTGCAGCCCCTTCTACTCAAACAACCCCTGTGTAAAACCCCACAGCTACTGTAAAAATGGGGATGTGATTCCTCAGCTCCATGGCATTCTGTGACATTTAAAACAAAGTCACGCAGGTAGCCTAAGGTCATGTATCTAGTCCTTGTATGTCTCCAAAAACAGAACCCAGGAGTCCCAGCTCCAAAATCCAGGATGGGTTTCAAGTCAAGGCAGAATCTCCATCATTTTTTCCGCTGTCACTCTAACCTCATTGCACTTCCACTGAATGCAGTTGATAACTAGTTTTGAGTCCAATGGCTTGACATCAGGATCCATTTATATAATTTTCTCTTTTAGAGAAGTATTTATTGTGGTTCAAATGAGAACAGTAAAAAGGGTGAGCCTAAGCAAATCAAAGACAATAAAAGCTTGAAATGATTTTTCCTCCTTCTAAGGATAGAATCCAAAGAAAACACCAGCAGAAAGAGGGCCATTATTGGAAGGAAGAACTAGTGAAAAAGTAAGCTGTAAATTAAACAATTTCATCCGTGGTCAACATCTGCTATTTGCAGAGGAGCCAGAAATGCAGCCATAAGGACTCTCTCAAAGCCACAGTAGTGCCAGAAATCCAAAACCTGAATGGAAAGATTTGGAGTCTCATCTTAATTTAAAGGATGTGATTGACAAATCTAGGCAAGTAAATACAATAATATATAAATAGTTAGTTAAGTGGGGCATTATTATCATTAGTGCCTTACTTTCTGTTTGTTTGGGTGGGGGAGTTCTTTGCTGCTTTCTTGAAATGAACATAACAAAAAGATCATTAAAAAAAAAACTATTTGGGTAGCACATTCAACATAGCATTACCTAGTGTTAAGAGAGGCCTAACTTAACACCATCAACCTCTTTTCTTTAGTTGAACCATTAGCATTATTTCAACCTGCAGTTCATATTTACAATTTTTAGTCAATCAAAAAGACAACACAAAACTTACTATGTCCTGCCAGATATTTTGCTTAGTCTTTTTTTTTTGCAAAATGTAGGGGTAGGCTTTAGTTATTTCTGTTTAAGTATAATAAAACAAAAAACACAAAATATTGAGTTAAAAACATCTACTTACTCAAATCTTTTTTCCTTAATCTGCAATTATACTATTTTTTCCCTCAACAGGATAATCTATTTTAATACAAAACCAGAGGCACTAAGTAGAGGGAAAAGCAGTGCCTCATAGCACCAAAATTTCACCGACTACCTCCTGAGAAGTTAGTTCTGGAAGGACCAAAACACCAGCTCCTTCTACTGATGCAGGCCAAGATACTTCTTGCTCAGGCTAGCCGATACTTTATACTGAATAATTTACTGGAAATCACTTGGGCTATAGGGAGAGCCTGTATGCAATGCAGGTTTGCAAACGGAGCCGTAAAACAGTCTCGTCTGTAGCCACGCGAGCAGCATCCCCTTGAAGGGCTCCCAAGCGTGTGGCCACGTGTATGGGTGCTGCTCCGAGCCCACGGGCAGCTCCTGGGTGCCCAGCGGGAGCCCTGGCAGGGGCTGCCCTCGCTTCCCTCCCACCTCGACCTCATGCACAATTTATCTCATGCTAAGCAGCAGCGTTGCAGGCTCCCAGTGCTACAATATTGGCAGAAACGGGTGAGTAAATGATAACAGTAACTGCCTACTTGCAAATCCTATTGGACTCTCATAAATAGCAGCTGGACAGCATTTCTCTTAAAAAAGTGTTTTGGGAAGGAAAATTGCACCTCTGGTGATGGGAAGCCATCAGTCACTTAATTCAGCAGAGTTGACCTCTGGAGCCTTAAGCTAAGTACTTATCCTTCTTTAATCAGCAATTTTGGGAGCAGGTCCTCCAAAGTAATCTCAGATGCTTTCTTTTCTTTCTCTCTCTCTTCTTTCTTTTTTTTTTTTTTTTTAGTTACAAGCGGGGGAAAAAAAGAGTTTACTGCAAATAGGGTTTTATCAGAGATCATTGACATGCTTAATATTAAGCTAATTTTTAGTCTGTTTTCTTGGTAAATTGTAATGCTTGGAACCCTTTCCCATGTTTTTGAAAAAGTAGACAGATAAAATGATATTTCTGTCTGCAAAGGTGTGAGACAATGGATGAAAGAACCTGGCACGTGCTGCTACATCTTTGCAGCACCTGCCATAGAAATGAAAAATATCAAACTTTGGTTTCTGAGTCTTTGTTCCTCTATTCCCAACTGAGTGGAAAGATGCACACACATAGTCACACGTTACCGTGTTTTGGACCTTGGCTCACATGCTGTCATTTCCTTATAGACTTCCAGAGTTGGTCTATGAGGCAAAGAAATCCTTAGTCACCATCACTGGAGAGTCAGCATGGGGAACAGCCGAAACTAAACGCCAGCCCTGATGGGAAGTGATCCAGATGTTACCACAACCTTCCAAGCTGGTACATTTGACCAGGCTCCTCTTTGGCACAGTTGCTCACTGTACAGCTTAGAAGCAGCTCCAAGCATCGAGTAGCAGGCAGCACCATCAAAGGGACTCCGTGAAGGGCCAACGGGAAGAAGGCTGTTTTCCTTGCAGTATCTGTCTGCTACACAAGCACCCTGTAGCATCAGGGCGAGCTCATCCCACCCAAGTGGCCCTGTGCCCTCGTTCTTCATGGCCCATGTCTCAGAGCTTTCCCCTTCTCAGGAAGGCATCCCAGTGTCCCAGCTTCTCCACTTCTAGCTTCTGGGAGGATAGGACGGGCAGTGCCAATGAGGTATAACATACATATTTATATAGTATGCATATACTAAGTTCTTTTAAACTCCACCACTCTACGTTCTCACCAACTGCCATTAAGATATTATATTCTCATTCTGTTGCCCATGGCCTAAGATGCACACTGGCTCATATAGACTTCACCAATACTCCACATTTTCTTCTTAACATCCCCAGCTGCAGTAGATTTCCACTGACCCCACTAGAGACAACTTCATGGTACCAGTGACCCCAAAGTTACTACTGTTCTTGCTTCTTCCTTCCCCCCTCACATTCTAATCCATATCTAGTGAAAATAAAATTATTATTTTCTAAAAAAGGCTTTTGTATTTTGAAAATCTCAAACAACATGATCTCCGAACTAAAGCAACACACCAATAAAAGCATTGAGTGGTTCATCAAATCTAAAGTACATATATGTATTGAGACTGCTGAGTCAGTGAATGATTTTGACTGTGCATGAAAAAAACAACTATAAAATCTAAGGGGCTGCCATAGCAAAAGGTAAATAAAAGGCGGGACAAATAGAGAACATTCACTGTCTGTGAAACATGCCTGCAAATATTTTAGTGGCAAATATTATAGTTTTTTCAAAGGGTATGTGCAACTTATTTTCAGGAAGTCATTAGTTCATTATTTTACTTATGCAATAGCCGTGGATTTCAGGACTTCCTTATGAATTTCTACTACTGGTTCTCTGTTTTCAAATATTACCAATACAAAGAAAACCCAAATACACAGAAATTAATTTTATGTACTCTTTTACTCTAGGGAATGAACCTGTGATTGCTGAAGAATTATGTTCCAGGAAAGTTTCAATACAGACTTCACATACAATCTTTAATAAGAAGTTGATTTTGCTGGTATAGGCTAAATTTTTATACTGATGTATATAAAAGTATTTTACAATTTTTTTTTCTGATCTTCTACTTCTCTTGAAATTAAGCAAATTACAAGCAAGGATACACTGAAAAAGACAAGGAAATACATCTTGTAACGGCTGCCACAGTTATACCA